AAAGGGAGCATCAGGGGGTTATCGAGGAGAGTTTTCTACCATAAAAGAACTGCTACTTGTGTCGCTACGGGGGAGGAGGGGGCGAAATACTCATCGTCTCCCTCTTCTTCCCCCTTCCCCCGCCCCCCTTCTGGATCCGCTAATGCCCCCCTTCTCTACGTGGCCTAGGTTACCATCAAAGGATCCACGCCACGTAGGTACTCAGTCTACCGATTTAACCCTTCCTGCGCTGCCTCCAGTCACCGTTTGCAGAACCCCCCTCCCCCCCCTCCCACTCCTCCCCCTTCACACCCCACCCTTTCACCACCACCCGTTCTGTGGCATCCAGCGTCCTTTGACGCAGTGGAGTAAGGATACCCGCCATTGGCAGGAAAAATTTTTCGCAGGTCGTGTATGGCGCCGACGGAGGCGAGGTTCGGTTGTTGCTGATGTGGGGTGTGGGGCTGGCGGTGGCGCTCGCGACTTTTCGTTCTGGTAAGACTGTAACTGTTACAAACAAGCATTCAGCAACAAAAACCGTTCTTCTCCGGTGCCTCTCACCATTATCTTGCAAGTGCTACACCTCCAGGCAAGGTCTCAGCTCGATTTTCCGGTCAGCAGCGTTTTTTCTCTTTCCGGTCGTTAAGACGGCAAGGCCTAAACCACCAGTCCCGGCCCTTTTCTCTCAACCCAGTCTATTTCTGCTCCGCCATCCCAAGGGAACACATCACAGCCATTCCAGTTTGGTCTCGGCCCGGCCCGGTCGAACCGGGTAGAGTGCAGGTTTAGTAGTTATCAAGTTTTCTTTCCGTGCCAGCGCGCACCGTTGCCCGTTTTCGGGGTCAAGAGGAGGCAGAATTGGGTGTCTGTGTTTGCCAGGTTGTGCACGATTATTTTGTCGTCTTTCTAAGGCAACGTGATATGGCCCAGAAGGGCAGCAGTTCGGGGAGTGCAGGGGCGGAGGTAGTTTGAGGGTTTCCGCTCGTTGTTCGTCTTTCTTCACATTCATTACGTGTTCCTCGAGCTTACCGGTTTCTCGTTGAGAATCGACGCAAAATGCTGCTGTTGTCATTGTTATTTCGTGCACAGTGTGTGTGCAGTTTACAGGTTGTGATGTTCCTTGCCGCTCGGCTCTGTATCGCCACGCTTCTGGTTGGGATTTGTGAGTCGGATGTTAGCCTCGGTCTTCGGAAGAAAACGGGAAAAAGCCCGAAACGCAGCGAGTACGGGAATCGACCGCGCGGAGTCCCATATGCACGTTGGTTTTTGCTGCTTCGATTAATGTCCGATCCGGAGTCCGGCTTAATTAATGTTGTATTTTTTAAGGAGGCGCATTCTATGCAACCGGTGAAACATTCGCATGCATAGACAGCTCGAAGACCATACCATTTTCATGGGTCAACGACGATTACTGCGATTGTGCAGACGGAAGCGACGAACCAGGCTTGGCCTTATAACGTTTCTTTACCGCTCTTCAGATCGCTCTGCCAAATTTAGTAAACAGCAGCGCGCACCAGAGCAGCCGGTGCTATCACGCGTTTTGTGCAATCCCTTCCACCGAACGATTGCCTGCTAATGATTTTCACTGCTTTACACTTTGGTTTGTGCAAAAATAGTTGAAATACTGAATCATTGGCGACGCGCACTGGGAGGCCCCGTGCGATCATGCGTTTTTGCAGTGTTTCGTGCTGCAATAAGATCACTTGAAATTCCGCTAGCTAGAAACCTCTTGTACATACTGGTCCTCCAATTTCGGGAAGTTAATTATTCACGCTATACTTGGACAGGAAACATTCTCTCGAAATCCCAGGTTCCCAGCTTTCTCAATTCCCAAGTTACCCAAATTCCAGCCAGAAAATTTCACGGGGCCGTACGTGGCAACCACGTATATCGTGGGGCTGAATTTGATAAGCTTAAGTTGCAGATGAGTTGGGAACATTTTCTGAAAGTTTC